GGTCACCATTGAATCATATCGTGTAATACAGTAAAGCGAACTTCGCTAATCGCCGCCAATCTCGCAACGCATACCAAGTAGGTGAGACTATGTAAGGTGGACAGACGCTGTACCTCTTATAAGGGGGAGAGTGAATCGCCATGGTCAACACAGCCTACGTTAACTAATTGTACTTACGTAATTTTACAATCATTCCGGCCTGATACGAAAGGAGAACGCCAGTTTTCGGTTAGCTCCCACATCCTTCAGTCTCCAAACAACCATTTGTCTTTTTTTACCCCAAACCGGAAGGTGACACCTACCTTACTTACTCGCTGTGCATTTCATGCCTTGTTTTCGCGTGGTTTCCTCCAGCCCGGAAGGGATACATCGACTAAAGTGCGGGTGACGACAACTGGGAACACGCAAAACGGATCCTAACCAACGGAGCCTACCAATCTGAATCCGATGGGCTAACAAATTTATTCCCAATAAACTCCCGAACACAACAGCGCACCTGCAGATTACCCGTTCGTTCCATCCCATGTGGGCTAAACTACGTAAACACCAATGGTCGAAAACTTCTAATTGATGGATATCTTCAACTCCCAAATTCAAGATCTTACAAACATGAAGTAGAACTCAACGTACGTTAGCACAATACACACTACCTTTCAATATCATTGAAACGTCGCTTCTACGACAAAAGTGGTTTAGTCCTTCATACGCTGCTCGAGCCCTGGAAATTCGTGCGTAGTCTCCCTTGTTGCGTTACCGTCACTCATCCACTAACTAATTCAGAGGTATTAAGCATCTTTGAAGGGGTAGACGACACCCTAGGTTGGCACTGACGGTGCAAAGCGATTACTGAATAGCGTTACAAATCTTACTACATTATCAAATGCGCTTTGCCCGTCCTCCATACAATCAAACAGAAAGACGATGCCCTCAACTTACTCGCGCAGATTTTCACCGGCTGCCCATATCACCATTTGGAAAGTATTTAGTGCGTCTACGACGTAATTAAACAGGAATGGTGAGATCGGGCACTCTTGAGGAAAGTTGCTGCTGATGACGAGTGACGTACTCACTTCGTTGTAAATCCTCACACAACCGGAAGTACGTGAGTACAGTGACCTCATCAAGTACATCTGGGGAATTCGTTTTTGAAGAAGAGAACTCACTACAGCCTCGCGGTTTACTGAATCGAGGGCTTCCTCTAAGATGACGCTGTGATGGTTCGTTGAGTGGGATTTTTTATTACGCACACACTTGTGTGACGAACAGCCGACGAGGCGGGCCCATAGTCTTTAAGCCGACCGTTCAGTGATGGAAACCGGTACCGTAGCCTCAGGAACTTGGAGTGGCGAACCACATAAGACCCCCTAGGTTAGACATGGTATTGAATCGAACGACAGCAAGATGCCTATCACCAAAGTTGAGTGGCGGTGTGACGCAGCTGAAGGATCGGAGACACCGTAAAATTTGATCAATAGGTCCAGGTCGGGATCCCGCTTGCTGTTCACCGATTGATTCGTTTCTCTTAAAGGAGTCAGATGCCGAAGTATGATGCAGACCAACACTTTGGTGACGATTGGGATCTTGCGAGATCCCTTCGTGTACATAAGAACGATCAGTTAATCGCCCCAAGATTAAGCAGTGCGCTCTTGCGTCCAAATGTGGTGCAGTAAATTGGTAATAGAGCTTACGAGTTTACCTACCTCCTCCCATCTTGAAGAGTAGAAAGCCCCTCAAGCCCTGCTGCTTTACTCCGCTTCGGGGCTTGAATGCAAGACCGGAATTCTAATTCTACCGGAGGATCGCACGTGGAGCTTCAGTTGCAGATGAGGTGATTTAGTGCCAGCAATCAAATCGTTATTCCTCTTTTCGTTGCAGACCCTTTCACTAAGTGTGGTTCATCGACTTCCCGTGTTGCGCACCAGTTGGAACAGTCTTTGACTATCCTCCGAAGCAACTGCTACTTCCGCTTCACCAACTATGGCTGCCCACCAGTATTCACGGCCCTTGAGGCTCTTCGAGAGTCGACGTTGCAGACGCGAACTAACGCTGCTTTGCTCCTAGCAGGTCGGAATTTTTTGACGTTTTTCTAAGGCTACCGACTCATGAGATATGCAATGCCTACAGCGGGCTTGAGGCTCAGACCCACGAGCAACATTCGCAGCGGAACGAATATAATTTCGAGAGAACACCCGATATGACCGCGACGGTCCGAAAGAACAGTACTCTCTGTAAGCTACCCATGTGCTCTTGCTACGAACATTTCAGCCGAGAAACAATCACTGACCAGTGGTAGTCAAATAGTAGTGTAACGCGAAGCCACCCGGACAAGTTAATGAGAAGGCGTTAGACCCACCATCAAACATACAATATATAAATACTATTCATTCATCGTAAATAAATGGATAGCTAGTAGTTAGACAGATACGAAAGTGAGTGGATAGGTAGGCAAATGGGGTT